TTACGTCACCATTTAAACAGATCAATTTCTACAACATTTGCATGCCTGGATATCACAGAATTAAACCTGAGTAGCAGAGAGACAGTAAAGAAAGGACAGTGAATAAGTCTGTATGCTGAAATAGGTCAGCATACAGACAAGCTAACCGGATTAGCGGTCTAGTTTACTAGTCTATCCACTGATGATAAGATTAAAGATTAAAAAGACAAACAAAGACATTTATGTAATAAGTGTGGCTGTTTAAACAAGTCTCCAGCGCCACTGTACTGTACGCAAAATAGTTTAACTGATGGAAGAAATTAAGATTTTATTAGAATTGAATTTTCAACCAAATCACTCTGCAGCCCAAGAGTGGTAACTCACAGAAGCTAAGCAGGGCTGAGCCTGGTTGCTGCTGGAAGTGGTGTTAGTGAGGCCAGCAGGGGGCACTTAACCTGTGATATGAGTCCTAATACCCCAATATAGTGAAGGGGACACTACACTGTCAGTGAGCACTATATATTAAATGAGACGTTAAACTGAGGTCCTGACTATCTGTGGTCATTAAAAATCTCACGGCACTTCTCTGGGGTGTAACCCCGGCATTATAGCCTGCGTTTGCTGTTATATCAACTAAAATGGTTGTAAACCCCGGCATCCTGGCCAAATTCCCTCCATCTGCCCTTACTCATCATGGCCTCCCAATCATCCCCATCCACTGAATTGGCTCAATCACTGTCTCTCCACTCCACCTAACGCTGTTGAGTGCACTGGCACCGTTATCCTGTGGCTGCCATTGCATCATCCGAATGCATGCTGCACATTGGTGGTGGTGTGGAGAAAAAATACACTTTAACGTGTGAGAGGACTAAAACGTGTTCATAAACGAATATTTTATCAATTCAAATGAGTGGCGGCTTGGACCCGGAAACAGTATTCCATCATCCCCGTTACGTCACGACTTAACAAGCGGATTATAATGCCTACAAAATCTTGACAAACAGACATTGGCTGCGTCGGAAACCGCCTACTACTCAGTAGGTACTGCTTTGGAATTTACACGTTCTACTCAGCCGTTAGAAAAGTACGTTCTATACAGTATGAATGTGAGAAGTATGAATGGAATTCGGACGTACTACATCTGCCATTTTGTCATGGTCACGTGACCTACCTGCGTCAGTTGCGTCGCTTCACTCCCATTCATGAATTCTCTCACGAGGCATCATGACATAGCGCAGCGTGCATGGGATGCATACTCCAGAATCTCGCCGGAAGTAGTAAGTCATCCGGGTACCTTTCGCATACTGATTTTTGAATTCTATTAATTCGGACATACTACTCGGCTCGCATACTAATTTTAGTGTACTATATAGTATGGAAGCACGCAGTTTGAAGCCATTGACTTCAAAACAGAAACAAATTCTTCCTCATTGGGTCGGTTTGTTTGCTTTTTGAAGATCTTGTAAAAAAATAGATTTAAGCAGTGTTGGGCAGTAGCGTCGCCACAAGTATTGACGCTACTAGCTTAACTACATTTCTCAGTAGCTTGGCGGTAGCGTCGCTACTTTCTAAATCAAATAGCTTAACAGTAGCGAAGCTATTTTATAGATCAAGAAGCGCAGTTGCGTCCACATAAGCTACATTTACAGATCGCAGATCAATAAGTGACGGCACCGACATTCACAGAGCTGTGAGGCCGGTGTGTAGCCGGTAAAAGTAAATCCATATGATGGCTAGAATGAGGAATTATTATTCTTCCTGTTTTACGGTGTTCGACAACAAACTTTTTGGTGCGTTACTGCCACCTCTGGTTGGCGATGTCGCCAACCCGAAACTTGCTTGATGGAAAGATGACTGAGGGAGAGGAATTATTTCTGAAGCAGGACTCCTCGTGACCATACCACGAGAAGTACATGTTAGGATGCAATATAGCTTATAGTATACATATATATATACATAGTTCCAAAATATTTCTCTTTACTATAGTATTTTAAATGTGTAACACCTGGTTTCATTGTATTTTTTGTTTTAGCTGTTATACTACAATTTGTTTCTGTGAAGTACAGCATAGGCTACTATTTACATTAAATACCCGAACTGAACTATTATGCCTCATATGTTTCATTGACAGTTTTATTGATCATTAAGATATGATTGACTTGGATTTAAGTTGCTTCGATTTAAAAATTGCAAAAATAGTTTGGATGTAGCTAAGCTACTTTTGCCTTGTAGCTTTTAGCTTAGCTTGCTACATTTCCCAGGGGGTAGCTTTAGTGTAGTTAAGCTACACTTTAAGTAGAGCAGCTAATAGCTTAGCTCACTACATTTTTCAAGTAGCTTGCCCAACACTGGATTTAAGACATTTTTTACGACTTATTATTAAGGCGAATTTATCATGACTTATTAAATTTAAGACTAATTAGTCAGACTTGATCTGATTTTGGAGCGGTGTGTGTTTGTCCTGAAAAAGAGATGCAGATTTACAGCTGAGTTTGCTGTTTCAACAAAACAGTTTTATTAAACATTTATTTCTAATAAAAAATAAGAGTTTGGTGCCATCTTTAGCGACAGAAAGATAACACACTGAAACATTTAAACTAAACAACTGAAAAAGAAAATTACAAACTAAATTTGATAGATATTTTTGTAGTCTTGATTTCTTTGTGTGTGTGTTTGAGAATGTGTGTGAGTGCTGCGAATCCTCGTGCTCAGCATCTCTGCAGTGATTGCAATGGTTTGCATCAGCCGTGCTATTTAAAACAACCTCAGTGTGGGGAAATGTATGAGTGAGGTTGTCGTTCACTTGACCTCTCTGTTGTGTGATGGTGTTCTGCTCCTGCTGAGTGTGTGTGTGGACTCTGAACTGCATTAATGGACATGAGCACACGCATATTATATCAGGAGGAGAAGAAGCCATGACAGAAGCACACGACTCCGTTTCATGCTCAATTAGCTCTGGACAAAAACACAGTGTGTGTCTGACCTCTTCACATTGACTGAGAGAGCGAGAGAGGCAGTGTGTGTGTGTGTGTGTGTGTGTGTGTGTGTGTGTATGTGTGTGCGTGCGAGAGAGATTTTTTGAAAACACTTTACTTGAAGGGGTGTTCATAAGACATGTTGTGAATGAGATATTATGCAGATTGTTTGTATATGACAACTGTTATTAAGCATCTGCTGAGTTATGTCAATTAAAAATGCAAAGATGACATTGTTT